ACCGAGCAGGCAGTGGGCGGTCTGAGTGACAAGGCCAGCGAGTGGTTTGGGATGTGTTTGAGGCTGGCTCAGGAGACCTATGAGGTGTATCAGCAGAGTGACCCGCTTGCAAGGTTGTCTTTGGAGCCCAGAAGGAGCGTGGAGCTCATGGATGGCAAGTGGTCGCGCCTAGAGAGGCGTGTCCTCACGATGATGCTTGGAACTTTGCAGAAGGCTGCGAAGGATGATGCAGTGACGCATCGAATATCTTCAGTACCGGCATTGCTGTTTCGATTACACGTACTGTATGCTCCAGGAAGCTCTAGTGAACGAGCAGCCATCCTACGCCAGCTCGAGGGTACGACTGCTGGTTCCAGTCCTGCAGACACAGTCGCCGCCCTCCGCAAATGGAGGAGACACCTCCAACGTGCCGAAGAAATGCGGGTGGCAGTTCCGGATTCATCCATTTTGCTTCGTGGCATTGAGGCGATTGCGGGCAAGGCTATTGAGGCGAACCAAGACGTCAAGTTTCGATTAGCATTGTCCCGGAACCAGTTGCAATTGCAGTACAGGCCAACGTATGATGGAGTGCTCAGTTATTACAATCATGTGATAGCGGAACTACAGCAGGCAACTCCTATGAGGACCTCTCAGCCAGCCGCCTCTTCTTCGAACGCGACCACCGAAGCAGCCAAGCTCAAGGCCTTGGGCACAACCAGCGCAGGCACTGGAGACACTACATCCCCCAGGAGAGGAGCCAGTCAGACCTCCGGAAAGGTTCCTTGCCGTTTCTTTGCTGGGGACAACGGGTGTACAAAGGGCAGTTCTTGCAAGTTTGATCACACGTTTGCAAGCAAGGAGGCCAAGAAGGCGAAGTGCTGGCACTGTGGAGCAATCCATCATACCCAGAAGGATTGCCCGGTGAAGGCAGGTCGGACATCGCCTACAAAACCTAAGGCAAGCTCTCAACCGACTACATCTACATCAACCGCGACATCTGGGTCTGGACCTTCAGCCGCGGCTACTTTGAATCAAGCAGCTGTGCAGCATCAACAGGCTCTGATTGATTCTTTGCAAAGCACTTTGAGTTCCTCTGCCTCTACCTCAGCACCACCGGCTACGGCATCTACTGGTCCTGTCGGTTCTGGAGCAGCGCCGCCTCAGGCAGCAGCGGGACAGAGTGCGGAGGCGGAGGACAAGAAGACGCAGGAGATCACGGCTCTTTTGCAAGAGGCAAATGCGATGCTTAACAAGCTCACGCGGCTGCAGGCGATCCAAGTGGCAACAGATACAAGCTTGCAGGAGTTGTCAACACAGATGAGGAGCTTAGGAATTCAAGATGAAGAGAGGATGGCCCTTTTGGATTCCGGTGCTTCACATCCTTTCCGCGAACGTGATGATCAAGAGACAATGAGGGAAACGCCTGTTAGAGTCGATTTAGCAGGAGGACAGTCCGTGGTTCTACAGCAGAACCAGGCGGGTACCTTGCTACCAACGACAACTGGAAGAAATCCTCAGGATGTTTCTACCATTCTGCCCCTCGGGGCGTTGGTACAATCCCTTGGGTGCGAGCTCACTTGGACGCGCAAGGGAGGGTTGAAGATAGTGCACCCCCAGTTTGGAACTTTGAGGACGGTGGTTCGAGGAAACTGCCCGCTCCTGGGCGAGACGCAGGCCTTAGAGCTGATTCATCAATTGGAGCAGCGGAAACTCCAAGAGTTGAAGAAGGCCACTGCTGAGACCTTCTTGCAGACGATGTGCCTGTCGGATGTGAAGGAATGGGACGAGCTCTTTGCCTTGTATGTTCAAACAGGTGAACGATCCTCCTTGCTGCAAGCACTTCAAGCACCAGGGTCCCCCTTACAATGCCTTGAGAACCAGTTGATCGCGATGCTTGCAGTTGACGTTGAGAAGTCCGAGGAAGCGGGCAAGAAGTACCTGAAGGCTATCCCAATGCGACGAGCGCAGAGGAAGGCCCTGCTGTCACGACGGTGGGTGGTGAAGCTCTATGAGCGAGATGGTGAGGATAGCGAGCCTTTCAAGGTTGTCGAGACGGACAAGGTTGTGTTCCTCAACGTGAACGTCCGCAGAAGCAGGGGTTTCTCCATGAAGGGATTCAGTCCTATGTACACAGTCTTAATGTGGGCAGCTCTCAGAGGACAGATCGAAGGCATCGTTGGGGCTCCTCCGTCGAATTCTTGTGTTGAGTTGACGACTAAACAGCTTCTGTTGTGGATGGCTGCAAAGGAGGGTGCGCGCTTACATCGCCAGACCTCACCGTACCTCGCGGTTGAGTTTGATCCGAACGCAAGGTGGTGGACCTCAACTACATGGCAAGGGTTCCAGCGAGAGTATCAGATTCCAGTGACGCAAGTTTTTCCCACGCAGGCGGCGGAGTCTTATTGCGTTGCTACCAACTTGGAGCTTTGTGGAGGAGATGATGTTGGATGGGGACCAGGCGTTGAAGCTTACAACAAGGCTCCCAAGGGATGGTCGTTGAGTTTTCAGAGGATGTTGGCGAAGGGAATTTTTGCTTGGCGGAAAACACCTGAACCTTTGATGTTGTGTGCTGCTCGAGGAGGTGACGGGGCTATGAGTCCCGAAGAACTTCGAAGATGGAGACGGCACGTGGCCAACGGACATCTCCCATACAACCGTCGATGCAGAACATGTGTCGAGACAGCAGCTACGGGCCGAAGCCATCGGAGAGTGATAGATCCGAGCTGTTACACATTATCGCTGGACCTTTGTGGGCCTTTTCGGGTGAAAGGGGAGACCGCCGATGCCAAGGGCTACCGCTATGCTTTAGTTGGGAACTATACCATGCCATTGATCTCAGGCTACAAGGACTATCAGCTACCAGAAGAACTACTTGAACAAGATTTTCGTGGGGAAGGTGAAGGAGCTACTGAGTCCTTGGATGATGGAGGAGGAATTGGGGAAATGCATGAAGAAGACCCTCTTGAAGAAGGACATGAACCTGAATCTGAAGTTTCGGATCAAGTAAAGGGAGAGCTTGATGATGAAAATGAGGAATACAAGAAGCTCTTCAAGGAGATTCGGGATACCATCCAGTACCAGAACCTTCATTACATGATTCCTTTGAAAACCAGAACGGCGCCGGAGGTTGAAGCAGCGATTCGACTATTGTATGTTCAGCTTCGATCTGAAGGACTTCCCCTACAACGAGTACATTCTGACAGAGCCAGAGAACTACGAGGACAAGGAATTCGTCGATGGCTACTGGAGCGTGATGTGTACCCAACTACAGGGGAGGCCCAAAGTCCCCAGTCAAATGGAAGGGCCGAGAAGGTGGTACAGATGCTGAAGAGAAGGGCGAGAACGCTTTTACAGACAGCAAGGTTGCCACGGGTATGTTGGCCTTTGGCTATGGGACATGCGGCGTGGGCTCAACGTGAGTGTGCATTGGGACGATCAAGAAATGTGGTGGCTTTTGGATCCCATGTTACCATAAAGGCGAAGATATTTGGACAAGGTGGCAAGTTTGACTTGAACAACAAATGGGACAATGGCTATATCGTTGGTCCGTCGACAGAAGTTCGAGGAGGATATGTCGTTCGAGATGAGAATGGCCGCTACCTTACAACGATGCA